GGTTTGTTTGCGGGTTGCTTGAGAGGGAGGAGTGGTTGGTGGGGAGAAATAATAAAGGTGGGGGGGGGGGGGGGGTTCCAGATGTGCGGCATATGTCGGCCGCAGGGGGGAGGGGAACATGTCGCTCTTGCAAACGTATTACGACTTTAATCAGCCATGCATGGGGACATAGCATTTAAACCTTACTTATTGTGCGGTTCAATAATTTGATGTGATCTGCATTTTTTTTTTAAATCGCTATTTCTTAAAATTATTATTTTCCAGCTCCCTGTCTAAAGTTTGTGTTGAACAAAATTGTCGGATTTTGGATCATACTGGACACATTTTTGGGTAAGACTGTTTTATATCAGAAAATAACAAAAATGTATTATTAATTTTTTTTTAAAAAGATGTGCAGTGGCTTGAAACCCTAAACTTTTACACATTCCTCATATTAAAGCCACAAGCTTCCGTTTATTTTATTGTGATTTAATGTAACTGATCAAGTACAGCTTCATTTGGAAATTGCAAAATATATCTATATATTTTGGAAATAAAAGTGCAGCTTGCGTGTGTATGTCCTGCTCTTTACTTTCTCATGTCCCAAAATAGTTCAGAGTTCATGGAATTAAAATAAATAAACCACCTGCATCCTATAATGAAGGCCTCAGAAGTTTATTAGAGAAAATTAGCAAACAGAAACAGAATCACTGGAACCAAAGAACACAGCAGACCAGTCAGGCATTAAGTTATGGAGAAGGTTAATGCAGGTTTAGGTTATAGAACAGCCTGCGACGTTTCGGTCCATCAAATAAAAATGTTCAGCTTAACTATCAGGTCAAGAAACAAAAACATTTATCAGAAGCAGCCAAGATGTTAGCCTTATCACTGGAGGAGCTGCAGAGACCTCCAGCTCAGGTGGGAGAACTTCTTAGCAGCCCTAAACAGATGGCCATCTCCAACTAGAACATGGAATTATTTATATCAAAATATATGATTTCAAAATCCAGTACCAAAGCTTAAAACTTTTTATGTTTTCCATCCAACCTCACTAAATGGGAATGATTACTTTTCCAAGGCACTGCAGGGCTGTCTTTATTTCCAATGAGCCTTCATCTAAATTTGCTCTTTGACTTTTCGTTACTTTGTGACGGAAAGCAATGATCTAATTAGAACAAGAGCCAGTGAACTCAGATAAACAACAGTGGCAGATTATGTCTCAATCTTTAAACAAAGACATCAGGCCACGTCATTATCATGCTGCCTGCATGCAGAAGCTGGGGCTTTCAGCAAGCTTCCACTTTACAATGCAGTCATGTTTGATGAATTCAGCAAGCTGCATACAAGATAACCAAACACATTTACTTAAGTACGTAAAGCATAAAAGACATCATGAATAGCTCCAGAGCACTTTTGTAGGTTTCCGCTCTCATTTTCTGTTTCCATGTCTGTCATCTGTCGTGAGCAGCACAGTTCCCTCAGCTGCTGAAGCTGCTGTGGAGAGGAAGTGCAGAAGGCCTGAGTCTGACTGCCTTCCTGCTGCAGCTCTATGCTTTATCATGTCCGGTTGTCTACGCTGCAGCCAACAACTTCCCATTCTTGTAAGTAATCAATAAACACTTAATAAGGAAGTCAAGGGTTGGTATTCAGTTATTTGTAAATAACTGAATACCAGACTACAGATAAGAATAGTAATGTTTGTTCTATTTTAAAGCAACTTGTTTCATGCATTTATAAAGAAAGCTTTTACAATTATCAGTAAGACTGAAGTGGAATGAATGTACCTGAATTTGAGTCTGTCTTTAGATGGGTTATGTATTTCTGTACATTCATTAGATTTATTTGTAGTAAGGTACTTACTGTGTTGTGAATTGATTGAGTAAAAATGAAAAAGAGGGAAGAAAATAAAATAGAACAGAATTGAGCTTCATCTACATGTGGCTGGGCTCTGTCTTAGAAATATGGTGAAGACCCTCCGTCCTGGTTCACAGTGGCACAGAGCCGCTTCATCAGAAGGACTCCAGTCAGGCTTTGGGTCAGGATGCCTTCAGGGACCTGCCTGTTGAAGGATTTCTGGGCATTTCACACTTAGTGGGATCTGAGGCAGAGGGACTAGATATTCTTTTCTGAGATCCTCAGACATGCGTAGGATTTGATGGATGGATGAACTCATTTCTCTGCTACTGATTTCTTAAATTGATTTTAGGGTTTCAACCTGTACTTATATGAACTACTTCTTTCAAAACAGAAACATAACAGGAATTTCCCACAGTAAGGGTGAGGGTTTTATATTTAGACATAACCAAATGACATGACTATTGAGCTGAATTATTAAATGTTATTTTTGTGGCATTTTAAACTAAATCGATTCAGCTTTCAGTTTCCTCCACTTTTTTGTAACTCATAGTTGTTTTGTAATTTAATCCATTGATTACTTTTCCACATATTTTCTTAATTTTCTTAGATTAAGTGTGTATTATTAAACAGGATTGCATAATAAATTGTTTTCATATTTCTCTTTACCGGCTTTTTGATGCAATAGTTTTGAGGACTGATTTAATCCAATCTGGTTCTATTTTACTTTGTAGTTTAATTTATCATTTAACTTGCTATTCATGTCCGTGTTGCTGCACTTCGATGGTTAATTTGTAAATACTTTCTTTATGAATACAGCCATCAGTGGGAGTGCAGCTGGTTGCAGAGTTTCCTGGGTGGCCGTCCATTTTCTGAATATTCAGCTTATCAGTTCCGCACTCCCCATTATGACTGCATTCAGATTCAAAGACTCTGGTTCTATTAGTGTCCAAACACTGCAGAGTAAGAAGCTTTTTCTATTTAATATCTGGCAGAGTATGTTTATTGGTGTGTCTGCGTTTTCTGTTTGAACTTCTGCACAGTGCCTGGGCTGAGAGGCTCTTCACCTTGGCTCAGACGGCAACCATCATCTTCCTCATCCTGCATTATCGCGGTGAAACCCTCAAAGGTCAGATTTGAATCAGTACTCATCCTAAATCTAGAAAATGAAGGGAAGCGGACATGCTGATTATTGTTTTATCATCAGTTCATAGTTAATGAATTATACACCTCGACGTAGAGATATCCCACGGCTGGGATCATCCATGACTACCTTAATCTGCTACAGGTGTTTTTTTTAACTGGCAAACTTTTTATAGGTTAAATCTTTCAGAAAGTAGTGAAATGTGTGTATGCACAGCACTTTAAAAGAAAATACAGCTGCACACTGCCACTCACTGATAGCACTGAAGGTGGTATTGTGATGATTCACTTCACTACTTTTTGGGCAACATGTCTCGCTGCTCAGGTTGTTTTTGCTCAAAAGCAACCACAATATATTTTCTGTTGCTAATTTCCATACCCAGCCACAGGGTTGTACACAGCACTAAAGCCTGGCCAATGATTCTGAAGCTGCAATAAGTGAAAGGGCTAAATGATATATTTTTAGGATTTTGGTATTAATCTAAAGTCTTACATTTTTAGGCTGCAAGTCTGAACTGGATAACTGTTAGAAGTTTTTTTTTTTTTAGATTCTTGCAGACTTTCCTGCAGTGCCACCTTGTGGTGTCTTTTCAAATTAACAAACTTTTTAACCATGTTTGTAACTATCAATTCAAAAAGGTCTCGCTTTCTTTCTCGTATTGCTAGGGTGAAGAGTACGATTTAAATCTTAGAAATGTGTGTGTATGTGCGTGTCAGGAATGCTGCTGCTCTTGAGTTTTGGTGGCGTAATCCTCCTCCTGGTTTCGTTTGCGGCTGCGGCCGTCGTCAGAGTGATGTACACCTCCACTCCGGCAGCTTTCATTTTGAGCAAGGTAGCGATCTATCAGTCTCTTCTTTCTGCAGATGTATGGACTCTCTTATGCGGACAGATGTGTGTCCTTATTACTTTTTCCAGGTTGTGCAAACAGTAACAAACCACCAGAAGGGCCACACAGGGCAGCTGTCCAGCCTGTCGGCGTTGCTGTCATGTGCAGGTGCTCTTGGTGCTGCCGTTGTTTTTGCACAGGTAAGCAGTCGGAAACAGTTTGATGCTGTACTCTTTTTCTGACTTATTTGGGATTTTAAACTCCGGCTTTGTGAAACGTTTTTCTTACAGGAGAGCGGAGGATCTTTAACTACTTTGTGTCACATACTGTCCACATGTCTCAGCTTTGTCCTAATGTCTCAGATCGCTTGCTACAAGAGGAGCGCTGGCTCTGCAGCCAAGAAGATGGATTAACTTCAGAGGCAGCAAGCGTTTCTATGACTAAGATGTTGATGTATGAATAATTTTAATATGTAGTTGTTGTACAACACTGTGTGGAGGATATGTCCTCTCTGTTTATTCTTATTAGAATTTTTGTGAAGTTTTTAATACCTTGTGTTTATAGGTTTGCTACGACTGTTAGCAGAATAAAACATCACGTGGCGCCCTCTAGTGGCACATGACTGGCAGCATTCTCAGATTTCAGTCCAAATGAGGATCTGTTAATGTCTTCTTTTTATTTAATGCCAGTCAGTTCTTATTTACCTTCAGAATATCCTCCATTTGTATGTTTGGTTTTTGAAAGGAGCTGGAAGTCATCTGGATAACACCTTAGATATTAATATTAATGAGCTAAGGGAGGAAAATACAAATTAAGATGAAAGAGCGCAAGGCAGATAAAGGGAGCAGAGGATTCCTGGCAGACAAAATGTTTTTAGACTTGCTTGGATACAGCGCTGTGTGAAAAGACAGTTTTATTAGCAATTAGCTTTTGAGGGTTTGACTGAGGGACATTTTTAATCACCAAATGAACCTCTGTAGGCAACACACCCAAGGTAAGATGCTGTTTTCTGCAGCTGCTCCTTTCTTATTGTTGGTATAAAACTGTTGTTTTGTTGTCAGAATCCACACAGAACCAACTCTGAGGCTCTCTTGGACCTTTAATCTGACCTGTTTATGAGTTTTTAATCTTTTGTCTTTGGTATTGAATAAACCTGAATGAGTGATTTTCATCTAACAGTGCTTGCCGATTAATTTTTTCCACAACCTCAAACAGTACCAAATAATAAAAGTACGTAGTTAAAATAAACTTTAGGGATATTCTCACCTCAAGTAAATGAGCACACGGGAGACGCAGTTTGTGTTACTCCAATTTCTCTTAGCTTATGAGAAACGGCAGAGCAACAGGCAGGTCAGAGTCCCAATACACCACCTACCGGTGAAACACCGGTAGACACCCATCGTGTCTAACCGGTAGACACCCATCGTGTCTAACCCCTGTTAACAAATAAAATATCTTCTTATCATGACTCCATAAATATTTAAAGAAATGCATGCTCTTTTTTCACTTTTGTGAGCACACACCAGTGGGCATCACAAGAAGTTTGACTGATAGACCGGCCCACCAGGTCGTGTTGTGGTTCTATTGACACCCTAACCCTAACCCTAACCCATGCTCACTGCGTGCTATTTTTACCCTTAGCAACAGTTGCCATGCTTCTGACAATGATGTCATCAGCATGACTTCAAATGATGTCTGTGTCATGAGGCCCTTCTGAGGATGACTTTATGATGTCATAGAGTCCATGACATAACCAACTGATCAGTTAGTTCTCTGATCAGTTACCACAAATCAGCCAACACAAGATCCATTTGAACGTTTTAGCTCACCACAATAAAGATGACTGACGAAAGCCCACAGAGGGAAATGGATGTGAGGCCTAAGGTCTCTTTTTGGACAAAAGTCAAAAAGACATTGTCCAACAAAGTCCATCCTGGCCAAAGAAGCCCAGATTATAAGAAAAGAAAGTTTCTCAGCGAACTTCTGTGGGAGGTAATTGAGAAGACTGCAGATGAACCAACTCTGCATCTTGTCCGACCCACATTTGAGGAACAACACAGCAAAATTTTGATTTTGCTACTGAGAAAAACTGGAGATATAAATGTGGACGTACTCTCTGAGGTGTCAGAAGAGCTCGCTGAAAGGATTTTCCAAAGTGTTGCGAGAGATGCATTCCACTTTGCCAGTGGACTGCATTTAATCGCACTGCTCGACTACCCAGAAGGACACGAAGTGATCGTGGAAAAATTCAAAAAGCACCTGGAGAATCCCGTTCGTCCAAAGAAGATGTTCACGTCCACAAAAAGAAAGATCCGAAAGACGTTGTTTCCTACTGAGGACTTGTACGCAGATGAAAACTGCCTGAGTGAAGATTATACT